CCAATTCGAGGGATAAAGAGGTGCAGACCATTGCCGATCAGGCGGAAGTCAAACCGGCTAGCTACACGTTTGATACACTATTGGTTTCGGATGGAAGATCGAAGAATAAGAGGGCTGGTGGCAGTGGCTCCGAGGCTGAGAGCAGCTCTGAACAACCGGAGACATCCAGGTCCGGGAGATATATATGTTGTGAGTGTGGTAAGTTCATCTTTGTCATTTCATCTCTTTTATTTATCTAAATACAGGAAAGGGCCCAAGTTAAACGCACCGAGTCAGTTCTCAGTTAGAATACCCCAATTTGTTTAAAAAAAACTTGAGATGAGAAATGTCTGATTAATTTTGAGAAGCGAGGCGTATTCGGAGGATTATTTTTCTCATCCCGACGTGAAGAAGAATATTTCATAGGAGAGATGAAAAAATAAAAAAAAAATTCATATACTTGCAGGGAAACAATACGCGACATCGTCCAACTTGTCGAGACACAAGCAGACCCATCGCAGTATTGACTCGCAGTCAGCAAAAAAATGCATCCACTGTGGCAAGGCCTACGTGAGTATGCCAGCACTAGCGATGCACGTGCTCACCCACAAGTTGACCCACAGCTGTGGTGTATGTGGGAAAATGTTTTCACGTCCCTGGTTACTCCAGGGACACTTACGCAGCCACACTGGTGAAAAACCATACGGCTGTGCCCACTGTGGCAAAGCATTTGCCGATCGTTCCAACCTGCGTGCCCACATGCAGACACACTCGTCTGATAAAAATTACGAGTGCCCAAAGTGCCATAAATCATTTGCACTCAAGTCATACCTCAACAAGCATCTTGAGTCAGCATGTCAGCGGGAGAATGGTGATGACAGCAGTAATGATGTCGATACACCGGGTTGTCATGTTGATACGCTAAATATCGAGGTAACATGCTAGATTACTCGCTTCGAAATTGTCATCGTTATATTTTCCCCATGGAGAACTGATGCGCTTAAAGAGGCAGGTAAATGCACATCAGTTGCTGAGAATCGTCAGTTGGTAGTGGGAAAAAATTGGGCGAATTTTCGCGTGAGATTTGACGCTGTTATGCGAATAAAACGCGGTGACCCCGATTGTCACGATGAAGTTGGTTTCATCCGGCGACGATATCGATTCATCCCGGTATGTGTTCCCTGTTGAGGCTTATCCCCCCGAGGGTCCCCCGCACTCTATTCCGCATAGGATCTTTCCTCTCCCCAACAAATTTTTTTTTTACTATTTTTTTTTTCACTTTGTTTTTTATTGAAGCCTCTCTTTCTCACGTCTTTTTTATTCTTTCACATCCACTCTGTAGCGATCGTATGCAACGCTACGTGGCCCCACGGAGGAGAGCACTTGAGCCTATCACTGACACGTCAACGACACACGGCCGTGACGATGGAGTCTCAGTACGAAGGGAAAATATAAAAGAGTTATGACAATGTGGAAGACCCGATGGGGACAATGTGGAGAATAATATCATTCGGATCACCGAATATTCGTGCCGCATCTAGTCACTCCACTGATACGCCAATACGCTTATTTCTTGAAAAAAATTGTGAATTTATCAAGAGATTACTTGACATTCCTTAGGTTCCTAGGTGACAGAAAACAAACATCGAAAAATATAAGAAATATTGAATGGCTTTTCCTCAACCCACTCCACAACCATTACTATAAATCTGTCTTTATCCCATTTATCGAGCGGATTTTAATATTTCTATGAGCCATATCGCGTGATTCACCGTATTTACATTTATTCTCAGGAAGAGGGAACGCAAAGTGTTGAATTGGTAACGACGATCGGTCGATTTATTTATTATTTTCTTTTCTCTTTATGGTATTTCATTTTTCAAACGAAAAAAAGACGCAGGATAATACCTCGCGTGGAATTCAGGGTAGTTTCATGACAATTTATATCTTTGAATCGATCGTTGTGAATACAGACTGGGGTTTTAAAATGGGGATGAAGAGGAAGAAGGAAATGATTATTTTTTTAGTTAAAGTTAGTGCACGAATTCCCTTAAATACGTCCAGACTGTTAGGTAGTTTTTCAAGTAAACTTCGATGATTGTTGTTGTAGTATTTATTTCTTGATTTACGTCTGGAGAAATTCGATGGAAAATCACTTGAAAATTGTGTTTACGGAAGATGATTATTATCGATAAAAACGAAGTACATTACGGTAGGTTCGTTATTGAATTTTTCCAGGCGTGGACAACTCGTTTTGAATTCGTTTCTTCAGTCTCTAGCCTGCAGCTGTAGTTTGCCAAAACTATAATTATTGGAAATATCAAAGCTGAACACGGTAATGTTACTTAACATTCGTTATGTAATTCGATAATGGATCATCATCAACATTTAACAAGGGAATGTGACCCACCTGTTGAATCCATAGTGACCATTGGCAAAAGGGTTACTGTGACCTGGCCTTTCCTATTCTCTCTTTCACTTGAATTATAAAACTACACTACAGTGTGTATATACAATACATCTACCCACGCGCTGTTAAATAGATTATGAGTCACGTTAGTCCCCATCACCGATCGATACTTTATTTTCCACAAGGATTCTTCTTTAAGACACTGAGGTGGGAGACATCACTACTGTAAGAACGCTGGAGAAACGATTTCTGTGTTAATTTTTTGTTTTACCATTTTATTTCCTCATTGTGATGAATTTTTGTTATGATTTTTTTTGTATTCTATCGAACGATAGAAATAAAAAAAAACTTGATGAGATTATTTGGTAATTAGTGATACGACGGGGCTTTGCTTTTTATACATTAAATTCTAGTCATAATTGCTTTATCGATAAGAGAGTTATTTTACTTACTAAGGCTTTACGATTTTTCAGTCGATGATAGCTCTCGGTTAGCGGGATTTTAAGTAAATTTGTAGTTTTTAGTAGTTAGGAAGAGTATGTAGGATGCTAGCTGATGCGGGGTCGAGTGGCGAGAATGAGAGAATTACAGTTGAGTGATGTATTATTCAGCGTGCTCGTACGTACATTGCGATAGAGAATTTCAAATACAAATTTTCAGGATGAGATTATTGGATGAGGGGGTCTGGAATAATGGAACTCAACGAATATATGAGGAATGCGATGATTGAATGGATTCTGAGGGGTCACGTTGAAGCCATGACGTTGTGATTTTTCACTGCTAGCCAATCTGACAATGCCAGATAAATTATTACTAAGGTATTGAATCAATGATGGTCATGAGGATGAGATAATCACAACGAGTATTTTCATATCGTACTGATAGCCACTGGCTTCTGCTTTGTTTCCCGATTAATTGATGAATCCATCGATCGTGGGAATTTTAGTAGTTGCAGTTGCAAATTTCTAGGCACATCCATTAATCTAATCGTCATCTTATTAGAGTCAGTACTCGGCAGTCAATCGAATATTCATATAAGAGAATGATATATGATGAAATCGTAACGGTAGTCAATAAATATTGTGTAGGGTTTTTCTCGGATAAAGTGAAAATCATTTTGGATATAACGTTTGACAGAAAATTAAATAATTGAACCCCTCCCTTCCCCTTTCGAAATTAAAAGCGAATGCTGAAATTACTGAGCGACATTGCATGTGCTGAATATGATGAATTTATCGAGTGTGTGTTGGAGAAATGAGTAATTGTCCTGATGAATATTAAATGAACCTTTTTTATCCATTTATTCGTTACTAACGAGAGTGTGAAATTTGCAGAGACGTGAATTTATGGGCAGGCTACAGAACTGAATACACGTAGTGGTCGGAATAATGTCTGTCATCTGCTGATACAATTATAAATGCACAGGTGACATTATTCATATACCAAAAGAAGAAATTGTAATGTGAGCCTCATGTATCGACTAGTGTCTTTTTAATTCCATTAATAAGAATTAATTAGTACCCGTGAATGGGAAAAAATTGAAATATTCAAACACGATCATATCTGACTTTGGCTTTTTTTTTTAGAATGAACACGGAATTAAAAATTAAGATTCTAGTGGAGAAAAGGGAGAAACCAAACTCACAAGACGTAGGGTCTAGAATTAGTGTGATACAAGGTACGACAAAGCAATAATTTAGTGATTGTATGATATTGGAATTAGTGATTATAGACAACTAAGTTATCGTACTTTCGGAACTTATATATTTACTCGATAAAATCAATATAGTTTTGTAGAATGCGTCAAAAAAATGAAAAATAAAAAAATTACAAAAATGATAAAATTGAAAAAAAAAAAATTACACATTGAAGGTTTTTTCGATTAGCGAGATTTTCTCGAGATTTTTCTCGGATCAAATGATCAAAAATTCAGAGAACACTTTGAATATTTACAAAAAATCACAATGAATTTTTCATTTACGTTGATTGGATGATAAATCAATGCGACTGCACGTACCAGTTTGAAACGCAAACACGCTCGCAATATTTCACATAAATAATGATAAATAAATGAAATTCAATGAATGAGAAACACAGACGATTCAATAATTAATAAAACGTAGGTGCCAAATTTGTGTGTGCTATAATCAAATCGATATTCAAAAATTTGGAAAGTCGATTAATGATGTGCACCGCTGATTAATACCGATTCATATCCAGAGATGATAATTAAAGTGTTGAATTAACCAGTTTGTGGAAGAGGAGGGCTGCGAGGGGCCGATGGAATATCTGCCGGTGCCTTCATTACAATAATTACATCGGAGAATATTCAACAAAGTGCAAAGAATTTAATTCCCCAACTATCTCAGTGTATTTCTTGCAATAATAACGATCGATACAAAATAGGAAGAGCAATGACTACTGACATAATGGGCCATAGCCGAGGCGATGCCCTTCGCAGATGAATAAAACAAATGAGAGAGATTGTATACCTACCAAAACGCACTCGGCGTTATTCACAACTAGTCACAGACACTACTTGTTACAATTAAACGGCAGACAAGATACCACGTATGTACTTACAGTATTTAAGGGTAAATGAAACAAGATCTTTTAATTGCATCGAGGAAAATTTGTAAACTTTATTAAATTATACGTTGCAAAAGGAACGTTTCGTATTCGCTCGATTTCCCAAATAAAATATTTCAATAATACAAATGGTGTAGTTGTTATTCATCCTCAATGTGTGGCGTAAATGATAAATCCCGGCAATCGTGTAAAACAAACTGTCAATTAATGTACGATATATTTTTCGTTAAACTATTATACAAAGTACGAGGTACACGAGAAGAACTAGAATCTACAGGTGGACGAGAAACTTAATTACAATCTCGGTTGGGATTCATCCTTGGGTGGTTTTGTCGATGCCGCGGGCACTTTGTCCTCGGGGAGTAGTTCTTTCTTCTCCTTACCATCTTTATCACCTGATTCTTTACCTGTACTGTCTTTTGAGATGTTCCAGTCTTTGAGGCCCTCCGGTAGGGAGGTGTCTTCCTCGAAGGAGCCTGTACCCTCGACAAATTGCTCGTACGTGGATTTCTCGGGGAAGGGTCGTGGTCCCAGTAATTCAATCATGTCGTCTCTGCTTAGAATTTCCTTGGCGAGTAATCTTTCACCTACCTGGATACATATAACCATTAAAAAAAATTAGTAAAAAAATTGATTCTTACAAAAAATTCGTAGGGTATGTGAAATAGCTAATGTACAATTTGTGAGGATGCATAAATAACGGAGTATTTCAGACAAACTGCCTCATTTACATTATAAACGAGCAAAATAATGATTTACCTTGGACACATCATCTTTGTGCTTCACCAGAAGCTCCTTCGTTCGTTCATATGCCTTTTTAATGAGGTCCCTGACTTCCTGATCGATCATTTGTGCAGTAAACTCCGAGTAGGGTTTATCCAGGACCATTTCCCCAGGTTGAGGTTGTTCAAAACTGATCTGGCCTACTTTTTCGTTCATTCCATAACTCGTTATCTGTGAGTACGCTATTTTTGTTATTTTCTGCAAATCATCCTGTGCACCTGTGGTTATTCTGTTGAAAAATATCTCCTCGGAGACACGACCACCGAGTGTCATACACATACGATCGAACAATTGCTCGGTAGAGTAGAGATACTGCTCGCGAGGCAAGTACTGTGCATAACCGAGTCCCTTGCCACGAGGAATGATTGATACTTTGAGAATGGGATCTGCGTGCTCGAGATACCATCCCGCAACAGCATGCCCGGCCTCGTGATAAGCCACTGTTTTCTTCTCCTCAGGCTGGAGGACATTGGTCTTCTTCTCCATGCCAGCCACAACTCTATCAATGGCTGCCTCGAAATTCTTCATCTCAATATTATTTGAGAGATCACGAGCTGCTATGAGAGCTGCCTCGTTACACACATTGGCAATGTCAGCTCCAGTGAAACCGGGAGTTAATGATGCCATTTTTCGTGCCAGTGCTTCTTTGTCGAGTGTCGTTTTCAGAGGCTTCAAGTGAACTTTGAATATCGATGCACGACCCTTAATATCAGGGGCTGGCACGAATATCTGTCTGTCGAAACGACCTGGACGCAATAGCGCTTTGTCCAAAATGTCAATTCTGTTGGTTGCTGCTAGCACTACTACATTTGTCGTTGTATTAAAACCTTTGGAAAACGAATTTTACAAAAATTTTAAGGGGTGTTTACTGTGAAAAATGATCACGCCTAGAGCAGAAATAAATTCCGCGAGAGCGTGGGTTTTTTCTATTTCTTTGAATTCGAATCTTTTAATGAACCAACTACTGATTTTACACATATATCCGTCGTAGATGATGATAAAACCTTCAGAGCCGGGAAAAATTTTAAAATACAATTCTTTCTTTTCACTTCCGTCTAAAGGCGATAATCTCTGTGGTATCACGATTTATCAATATTATCGTACAGTTTAATTATTCGGAATTTTCTTACCATCCATCTCGACCAAAAGCTGATTCAAAGTATTCTCCTGCTCTGAGTGTCCCGAAAAATTTCTCCCCCCACGTTTTCTCCCAACTGCATCAATCTCGTCGATGAATAATATACAAGGAGCGTGTTTACGAGCCATAGCGAACATATCACGAACCCTTGACGGACCTACGCCGACAAACATTTCCAGGAACTCCGACCCAGACACTGTGATGAATGGAACGTTAGCCTCACCAGCCGTTGCCTTCGCCAGGAGTGTTTTACCAGTGCCAGGGGGGCCTGGAAATTTTTATAATTCATTAAAATCGTGAAAGAATAATTCATTGGCCTGAGGAAACGGACCTGTGAGGATTGCTCCTTTGGGTATCTTGGCACCCAAGTCTATATACTGTTGAGGGTTCTTGAGAAAATTTACGAATTCCATTATTTCGATTTTCGCTTCTTCACAGCCAGCCACATCCCTGACAAAATGAATGAGTTTTGTCACAACATTTTATTATTTAAAATTGATGAGAGAATAAGCTGTAGCGTTATCTGTTCTGAATTTACTTGAATCTGACACCAATTTGATTAGAATTAATCAACTTTGCTGTAGACTCCATGACACCACCAAACAGTCCACCTCCTTTTCCACCTTTGCCACCCATAAATGAAGCGGATCTACGCATTGCAGATATCAGCAGTCCTGTAAACTCTCAGGTGATCACAAAGAACAAGATCAATCCGACAAGGACTTACCAATGATGAGAAGTGTTGGAAGATATGAAATAATCGTTCCTGCTTCAACTTCTGATTTATAAATAACTGGAAGATGATTCTGTGGCTCAATGTTCAACTCTAGTTGAGCGTTCTCGAGATTTCTCTCGAATGTATCGGCACTGCCGATATTAAACCACAGTGATGTCTGAATAATAATAAAAAATAACACTTTATTAGTTCCATAAAGTTGTTGACGAGTTCAGTAAGAAAATATTCAATACTCACTGAGCCATCAACACTCTGACCAGGTAATAACCGAACTCGTACCCATTTTTTATTGACAACCTCTAATTTTTCGACTATACCTCTATTCAAATAACTGTGAAGAATGAACAAAATGTTAAATAGAATCTATGTGATTAGAAAACTACGACGATGAATATATGTTCTGAACGAATGGACTAAATTTTACCTGTATACAAATTCCCTCCATGTGATTTCTTTGCTTCCAACATCGAAGAAGGCCATGGCTCCAATAACACCGACAGCTCCAATGATCCCGGCAATGATCCACTTATCTCTGTCATTTCCGTCGAAGGGTTTGCTACCCCCCGGTCCTCCACCACCGCTTTTATTACTGGAGCCGAATAATCCCGATAAAAATTGATCTACTGGTGTTTCCTTGGGTCTTAAGGGAGGTGGTTTGAGAGGAGGAGTTGTGGATTTCTGTCCGCTCTCAGCTGACTTAGCCTCCTTCGGAGCTTCCTCAGCTGATTTCGGTGGCTCTTTAACACCACCTGGCAATTATAAATATCACATATACGAAATTGCAGAATTGGTCGTGGACTACAAAATCATTCAGACAAAAATATCTCACTGTTATTTACCTGGCTTAAAGAATTTTTCAAATCCTTTTGGAACCTTCTCTGATAATAATTTCCATTGTTGCTGTAATGAGCGCTCAAGCACCGATAATCTTGGATCATGCTTCAGTAATGATAAAGTTCGGTTGAGCTGAAATGAAATTGAATCAGCAGTGCATTGAGAAGGAGTTTTACATCCTTTGGAATCTTTCTCTCATAATACACTCCCTTTTCTACAATGATTTCTCGAGCACTGATAGTCACCAATGATAGTTTAATAATTATAAGTAGCTGGTGAATTAATACAAAATTTAAGCAGCAAGATTTCATTATTTCTTGTAATGTCAGAATTCCTTACAAAGGATATGTTTACTAAAAAATAAACTGATAAGAGAAGAAACCAGTCAATAACATTTGTATCTTTCTCGGGCACTTGCAAAGCAGAAAATTGTTAGTAAATGCATTGAAAAATGTACAATTATAACCAAATGATTCCCAAAAACTTGTTATATCACAACAGATCTGAGTTTCTAGGTTAGATAAATGTGGGGGGTCTACCTCAGTACGATTAATACGACCATTCTGCACTGATTTTAACACAAATCTCTCCAATTTACATGCCGATGATAACAACTGATGAGCCATAGTACGTCAATTAATATTTTATTTATCATGTAGAGTATGATGAAATTTATTGTTCAAGGGTGATACCGTTGATTCACTTGCGGTAAGAACCGGCTGGCTTACGCCATTTTTTATCATTTGCCATCACAACCAAATCCGAAATCAAATTACGCTGACAATAATTCTATTTGAAAGAATTTGAGATTTTATAAACGATCATTTTTATTGAAGAATTTTTAATGATGAGCCAATATTTAACGGTAATTCATTATTTGATTTTGTTATTTTCGTTTTGAAGAATTATTAGTCACTGAGTTGACTAGGGAGCTGAAACTGCACTCACTGCGCCAGCGCGAGTAAGATTCAGTATGGCGGCTCATATTAGGCGGTGAAACGCGCGTGAAGTGGTGTTTTCCTTGGTGTTACCTGCATATTTTGAATTAAATGGATACATCACAGAATAATCGGGTAAATATCAATTAATTCTATCATAAATTGATAATTGTTCGTATTTTTGATGATAAATACGAAGGGGGCGACAATTTGATATTTGCTTGTACGTCTTCGTCGAGAAAAAAGCGAGAAAATTAGAGTTGAATTTTTATCCGATGCACATTTTGAAACTTATGCATCAATCTCCGGTAGAGTGCGTTATGTAGTGCGCGTGGCATTCACCAGCTGATCCGAAAATAGCCTGAAGCCCAAACACTCCAATAAACCCCAACAAATAGCATTTGTCCTAAGTACTACGGTCAGTAGCAATGAAAACACGCAATAATCGTTAGTTTTATTAATGAAAAGTGATCGTATCGATAGTGACGTAGCGAGTATATTCATCGATATTTCTATGAGTTAACCGGGTGCTCATAGATTAGTGAATCAATCGAGGATAACCTGTCCTCTCGATTATCTTGTTTGAGATTTTTCTCCTTTTTCCTTCATTGCAAGTGTTGAGTGTCACTTTTGGAACACATCTGGACCAATGAAACGAGAAAGCAACACTTGAATAACGAAAAGTGTTATGATGCTACAGAATGCACTATTTTTATGCCGTTGTACTGACGATCTTAGGATTGGTCAATAAACTTTATTGTAAGTATATTCATCCATTCCTCTTTATTTCGATGCTGTTGTATCTATCTTCAGTGTCCCTTTATTCTCTATGAGAAATCGTTGAACATTTTCTAATACTGAATTCCTCCAGGTGTTGAAACCCTTCCAAATGTTACAATTCAAAATCTATGGCCTACCAGTGCCAGAGCCAAACTAGAAATATTTCCTCAATTTGTCACGGGTATCGAACCAAAACTCATACTCCGTGGGAACAATGAGTCCCTAAATATGACATGCACAGCGGTATACCATAATCCCGATAAAAATGACATATCACTCAGCTACGATGTTGATTGGAAAGTGCCTTCTCATGTTAAAGATAATCCGTAAGTTTTACAGTTCTTCCTATTATCCAATTACTCTGAAACTGTTCTAATGCGATTTGTTATTTCAGCTCTAGTAAAATAATTTCAGGCCAGAATAAAAATATAGCCTGGCTGTGGTTCGAGCGCTTGTCAGAATACGATGCTGGGAATTATATTTGCAATGCAGTCAGTACGAGCAAATCTGTCGTTCCACCGTTCATGTCCAGTGAAATTCGCCTGTCTGTGAAGAGTAGTAAGAACAGTAAGTGTAGGAATAAGTGTCACTTAATAGTCAAACATAGTTAATAAAATGGAAATATTCTATTGGATCATTTCTCTTTCTCTGCTAAATAAATTGATTGTACTCTCTTAGAACCTACATTCTGCGGAAAACAATGGTTTAAATGTCACTTATCAACTCACTGCATCATGCAAAGATATGTGTGTGATGGAAAAGCAGACTGTGACCAAGGAGAGGATGAGAATCCAGATGCGTGTGGTCCGAACCCTTGTTTCGGAAAAGTGCATTGCGAGGGTCGTTGTATACCTCCCGAATGGTGCTGTGATTATCGTAATTGCAATGGAACATATGGCCTAAGGCCATGGCCACCAGAACCCCACGAGATAAGTTACGTTCAAACCGCATTCTACACAGTCATCGGTACGTAACAATAGCCCCTAATTGAGCATGCCGAGCCTTATTTCGTTAAAAGATAGAAAACTCTTGGTTTGTTGTAGGCTGTGCGATGGCATTCATGTTCATTGTTACGATACTGGTAATAGCCATATGTAGGGTACAAATTAAGCGAGCTATGAACTCCAGATGGACACAGCAAAATCGTACTAATTGCACTAGACGACGTACAGTGCCAATTGGCATGCCTATGTACGATTTAGACGTTTATCTGAATCGTGCTGCGGATAATTATCCCAGAGGAGTCAGTATAATGTACAATATCAACAGCGGTGTACAATTTGTGGGCCGTCCGATGGAACCGCCCCCTTACTCTGAGGTAATAGCCTCGCCTCCTCGAGAAGGCCCTCCACCTCCTTATGTATCCTGTGAGAATCTCATTGAGCAAACAACGACAATTGGAGTTGCCTCTGAAAGTACAACGGCAAGTCAGTCTGAATCAACAGAAGCCCCCACTTGTGGGACAATACCCCCACAAGTGAGCAATGATCTCAGGGATGAATCATCAGGCTTTTCTGGAATGGTTATAACATCTAGGAGTATACCTGGGCCTCAAGTACCCACACTATCCCACATATCAACTAATTCAGCGGCAGCTGATTTAGACAGCAGACCTAGACTTGCACTTCCTCAATCGTTCGATCTTGAATACGTGGAGACTGACGCGTTGTTATCAGAAAATTCAAACATAACGATTACGAGTCCTAAAGAAACTCTGTGGAAGTCTTATGGGCGACCCGGTGGAGCCAAAACCCGATGGCAGGATCAAAGTCCTGATAAACGGTGGTTTAATCGTAAATCCGGAAAGAGTGCTGAGAGTTCTCCTTTGAAAAATAAGGATTTATCTCTTGCTGATGCTGAGAATGAAGGAGTCTTTCTGGATACAGATCAGCACGAGGTCAGGATAGACTTATGTCAGGAGCAAGGACCAAGCACGTCTGCTCACGATAACGAGCAAACATCAATTTCAAGGGGGAGCCATGTTGCCAATAAGAAAGCCAATGAGTCTAGGGAAGATGTGGGTTTTTCTGGAGTTAACAATCCCTCGGGATTAGTGACACGTTCTCTAGCTTTTCCTTGTCAACCTAGTCAACATCAGAACACAATTACCGATACGCATACACAAAAAAACGAGTCTTCCACGAGTGTTTCTACCGCGTTACTCCCATCTAGTGATCACCAGACTGAAACTAATGGCCAAATGTCGGCTAGTGAACCCTTAGTTCTGCCATTGCGTGAATCTTTCATTGGAGTGCAGAAGAACAGTTAGTCGATAGTGATTAATCGACTTCCACTTACTAAATTAGTTTCAATCATGCTTCCAGTTTTGTTTGACAGATCTATCGTGCTTCGTGGTTAATGTACATATTATGTAGGATATTTGTATGAGAATATTGCGGATTAGTGCATTTTGAGTACTATTGTATTCCAAATGTTTATTTTTACTGTTAAATGTTTCGATGGATTATCCTCGCTTGCCAATACTCCAAAATTATTGTATTTTCGTACTTATGGGTATTTGGAGCACTGCACGTTTCTCATCGTTTTTTGAATTATCGGAGTGTTCGGAGATTTGTTGATGGGACCAATATTGTTTCTATTATTTTTTCGATTTATTAACATTGAATTCATGTATATCAATAGTATCATGAAGGAGTAACAAAGAAAACCCACCGTTCTGCATAGGATGCGCAGTCTTCTGAATAATTTGATTGTCAGATTTCGATAACGTTATCGGTACGATTAAAATCTTATTAGTATCCTCTTCCAGGGCTCGGGATAAGAATTATACACTTGTTTTAACGTGCTTCCAAAGATTACCTAATGGACGACTTGTTTCTTTGAATTATAGAGGATCGCTTGGTTCATCGTGGAGTGATGATAGATAATCTTAAATTTCATATTAATTATGATAGACAATAACGTTGACCACCTCGTTTTGTTTTCAATTGAATAATTCAATATTTTTATCGTTTCTGTTTTAATCTCAGAGTTGATGATTAGAAGATTTCATATCAAATTGTATACACGTGTCACGGTAAAAAATTTCATCGGCGTTTTAATTTTTGATTGGGTTTTAATGAGATATTCGATGAATTGCAATGGATAGATCTTATGAAATTCTACAATCATATATTTTTAATATACCTGCACCCAAATTCAATTGAATTGATGACGCACCAAGGGTTATAAATTGATAAAACAGATATATATTTTTAAAATTTCCGCAGAATTTTAGAGTGCAGATGTATTGCAGATGGCCTAACATTCCGATTGGGCTTATAATTACTGGTTACTTAAGAGCACACTCGATTATACACGAGTTATCAATTGTCTCGAATCGTTGAAAAATACTATGTATTTTAATTATGTTCATTGTAAATTGAAAATTAAGAAAAAATACACGAACTATGAGAATATTCAATGTGGGATTGTTTTTCGAGTGTTTAATCACTCGTCTCAGCGGTTCATATAAATCTAACTATATAATAAGTCTTCATATCCTGGATCTTACAAAGGTTTTTGTTTGACTTCGTCAATAGCCTTCGCCTCCCATACACACCATAACTATTATATATACGATGGGGTTCATATAAATCTATTCTCTTGCTTGAATCTCGAGCTTTTAAAAAAATATTTAGTATTTCTCTATTCGAAAGTAATTTTTTCAGTTTTTTATTCATAGAAAATATTTAACTATGACAGTTTATAACTAGTTTCTTTCGCCCAAAATTCCATAAATCATTTCACTGCTGAAATGATTTGTGTGGTATTTTATAACCATTAGTTTGATCTTGAGATTTGGATCTGTATTTTTTGTAGAGGAGATAAGTTACGGAAGTTACTACAAGAAAAATTAGAATCCAAATTTGGATGCTCACGGCTGATGACACCGTGGTATTTCTCCGTACTCTCGGATGTGTAAGTACATCCCTCTCGAATTTTCTCGCGAAAAGACCGAGTGTCTGGACATTCTTGGCAGGTGCAGTGAGAAAAGCCTCGATATGTACCGTATCCTCCTCGATTTTCTCATTGTACGTCCAATCGAGGGGCAATAGCGATGAGTTAACTGAGTTCGGCATTATCATAAGATTATTTCGATTAACAAAAGTGGCGGTGATTCTCACCAGTGAGAAGACAGTTTCCGACTTCGTTCGGAGTCCGCAGGTGTTGACTGACTCATTCCTACAAAGAACAATCGCACAAGCCTGATATCCGATAGTGGTGTAATTGACAAATGTCCGTTGACTATTCACCACCATCAGTTTGTATTTCGAGTTTGCATCGATATTCGATGTCTCGATGGTGAAGTCACAACAGAAGTCATACTGGCAGAGTTTCTCCTGCTTCATTTTTGAGTTCATAGGACGTGTTTCATAGGTCGGAAGGCCAGGGTCTTACCAGACGTTGAAGTCGCTTGGTAAATTGGAATCACGTTCGCCTTCCAATTCCGTTTGTTCAGACCGTTTTCTTCTGAATTCATCATGGATATGTTCCGCACTTTTTCCTTGGTATTTCCACCTCAATGCCCCTTTGATATTTTCTGTTAGCAGTTTTCGATTCTTCTTTGGCACATCAGCGATGAGGATCTCATCGCCCATTTCACCGATTGTCGCTTTTGCTATCCCTTTTTTTCCTGAAAATTCGAAATTGGGTGAATAGAGAGAATAATCGGGTTGGGAAGAATTGAGGGCTTTACCTAAGTATATTCCACTCCCGAAACTTGCCAACTGAGGTTTGTGGTAGCCTGAGGCTAGGAAATTAACGTTCTCGGAATAGGCCCATTCCGACTGCGATTGGATCGCTGCAATGAAGTGTTGTAAATTTTGAATATCTTCAATCAGTCATAATAATTTTCTGTTGACTAGTTATTTTCAATAGATATAGGGCATTGGCATGAATTCGAGGATGACATTGGCTGAATACCCATGTGCAATGCAAATTGGAACTCCCTGAATCCAATCGCTATAGTTCACCTAGCTCCATGGAAATGTCGTAACCACATTGCAAATACACGTGTCGCGTAAACTTTCGTAGATGTTCTATCAAATGCTAATGAAAACCAAATAGAGAAACTCGATTTAACAGGGGCAACATCAAGAATGGGCAAAATTCAGATGGTTTTTTTTTCAATAGATAATTAGAATTAAGAATGATTGTTTGATTTTGTCTACCAGTGAAGAAGGGCAGTTCGGAGAACCACGCCGTTGAGTAGACGATGTCGGTTACGTGGTGAATCCTCGTGAGGTTGAGGGCGGGTTCTTTGAACAACATGTCGAAGCAAATGAAGGTTCCAAATGTAACGTTAAAGTCTGTGTCAAATGTAATGATTTCTGGAGTTTGAAGTATGTCGAATTGGGGCTCCTTGAACAGATGAGTTTTCCGATATCTGGAATGAGACGATTAATTTTGAGGGCTTCGGGTAAGGATTGAGTTATGGGGTCAGAAGTTTGTGGAATTCGCGGGTAATTTGTTTGGAGTTTCACTTTGTTGATTTAGTTACGATGCCTTACAAACAGCATTCTTTCTTCTGAATTTAATGCTCGTTACTTTACTTCACGAATCGCTCAGGGGAATGGGCGAATTTTCAGTGGTAACTAGTAGAAATATTACTTTGCTATTATTTTTCCTTGACGATCGAAAATGGCTTGGCAGTTGAAGAGAAATTTTCCATCCTCAGGACATCGTTCACCATCGCACGGCAATTTTTCAGCAATATTGATGACAACGTACATTTTACCCTCCCTCGCTGCACACGATATTCTCTTTAGTGCCTATCAATCACAATTTTAAAATAGCCAATAACTGCAAACCATGTGGTGGATGTTGTTGGAGTCTTGAAAGGGAAACGGTTAGAATTTAAAGATTTTTTTTGTCACCTCGTGGACAGCAATGTGGTGCTGGTTACAGGGATTGTAATTAAGTGGAATCAAAGTTGACCAAGCGTCCATCTTTTCTCGCTCTGGTAAATCGATAGTTGTCATACCATCCTCAGGGAATACTATTATATCAACTTCCTGCAGAAGGAATTACAATTCAATTTTACATGGTAAAATGCAGTGTCCCTAACTGTTGGGTATGGGCTTTTGTTTCCTAAGCCAAGTTGCAGCCATCGTACTACCAATTTCACCCCATTCCTGGCACAATTCAAGGCAAGAACGATATAGACGTGGTTCGATCCTCAAACTACTTCGGGTTAGATGAGCACCTTTGTATAGATACTTCCCCACTTGTCTTCCCTTTGACTATTCAACATCACATTATCCTCCATTTCATCAATGGATTTTGTATTACTTTGAGGCACGTTAGTTTTCACAATATGTCGGCAATTTATATGAAAACTTTATTATGATTTCTATCTTAAATCCAAACAGTACTATTTTGTGAATTCCTTTTTGAGAAGGATCGCAACTGACGGATAATAAAATGGATGAAAATGTAACGAATTGATGCGGAAATGTACGAGCCATAAATGACACCAAAATTGAATCATTTCCATATTCTAATTTGATAAAAGCCCCAACTAATGAAACGTGAATGTCTTCCGTATTTTTAAATCGCTTTCTCGTGTCATTTTATTGAAACTCGTGTTTCCTTTCATCATTACCACCCATGAGAACTCCACGGGACGGTAAATGGAATTATCCAGCATATTGCAGACACTCCCCTGCAGGGATGTCTGGTCGAATGTCCTAATGACATTAACTACAAGGCAGACGCGTCTTAAAGATGGTGCCATGCTCTCAGGAAGGATGAGCTTCCTTAAGTCGAATGCCACGTCAATGGCACTATTTTTAGATGCATCAATTTTTTCATAGTTTTTATTTGATTTTGCAATAATTGATTTATGGCTTTTTTTATGTTTCCGACGATCAATTTGAGTAAGCCTTGAGGCGATGTTGTTATACAAACCGGCCTCGAAGATAAAACAGTGCGGCTATCAATATAGCTTCCGTTTGAGGGGAAATGAATGGATAAATTTGTCGTTCGCGCAGTTCTAATGTGCCATTTGTGAATACTGAAAGACTTTATTTTCCATTTTTTTTTTCAGAGGACGTGTGAACGACAAGTTGGAGAGAGAGTCTGGCTGAGGGGTGAGTAAACGAATTTATACTATTCTCAAAACGTTTCCGTAGTTAGAATTTTACGGAAATGTAAATAACTATTACCAGCCATATTCCCCGCGCCGTTTACTTTTTTTAAGAGTTATTTTCTGACAATACGTGCGTGTATTCCAATTAACTAATTGAGTCGGCACAGTACAATCAGATCGTCGAAATAGGGGTAAACGGGGATACGTGAAATACTTGAAAAAACCCACTAATTAACGTATTTTTGTGTTATTTTACTTTGATCCAATTTTCCCCGCGATTTTCCCAGGATACTCTAGTCGAGTATCAATAATTGGAAAACGTAAATGTATATGAAATTCGCGTGGTAGCTCGTCGAGAGGTAAATTAGCTCCCCTATCGGTGAAGTTTTAAAAAAATCATTGAAACGAAATTAGAGATTTGCAATTACCGAAGCGGCAGCCTGTTGGATGAAGCTCACATATCTTTTACTGTTTTCATCGATTGGGGAATCATTGTTATTCGAAACGCGTGGAGAGAATTCAACAACAGCAGCTTTGTATGTATCCGCTTCTGGAGTGGACAACTGAAAAATATTATTCAATTATCCTGGAACAATTCTGTTTCCTCTCGGCGAATGTTCATGAGAATTTAGGTCTTAATTACCTGACAGGATAATTGGATAATTGCCAAAAGGCAAACACAGTGTAGTTGCATCCTGATACCTGTGAAAAGAAATGAGCAAAGGGAATTTACAGTGTGCAAGCATCATCAGCCTGTCTACACAATGATTATCCATGTTTGCTGTATCTAGGTACATGGAATAGTTGTATCCACCGTGTGTTGGACGATACTCAGTTTTGTTTGTTGGATTATTCCAATGGGTTCACGCTTGTGCAAGTAGAAACGACCCAACTCGCAATATTGTTCCACATTTTATGGCATGCGTAATCAATAGAGAGATCCGTTCTTCGTTTTTCTTTCCCCCTGGAATTCGTTAGGTTTTTTATTCGATACTGTGTATATTGTTAACGACACCCTCATAAAATGGAATTTTTCAACTGGAAGGAAAAAAGTGACGGGCAATAAATTAATTCAGTTTAGATCCGATACTTTACCGTACATTAAAGTCATCGAGATTTCTTTCGAATTTCTGCCATAGGAATATTTTATTTATTCTTCGCAAAATGAAATTCTCTCTCCTCTTTACGCATTTGCAACGTCAGATGTATTACACAACTTGTGCGATAAGTCGGATTTGACACACGAATGCTTCGTGGCATTCGTGCGTTAAATCTCGTTTCTCGTACTTGTTGCGTGAAATATTATCGTGAGCAATTCTCACTTTGTCTTGTACCCTTGATACAAAATAAATTCATTTATCTGAAACGTCCGTTTTCCGTCGGTCATGCTTTGTCAGTCGCGGGTTGGCGGGTTCCTTTTTTAGGATCGATGAGAGGTCTACATTATTACGTGGTGATGGCCTAATCCCTAATCGGTTGAGATCATGAGAGATGGTTCTTTAAATTTTTTATTTATAGCATTCCAACAGCTTGGTTGGTCGTGCTGAAGTAATTACCACAAATTTGCGAAAATACGCAGATACATAGATTTCTATAACATCTTTCCATAAAGGATTCTATATATCTTCAAAGTCTCAGCTGTGGCTATTTACATAAGTTCCTCAAATATTTAAATCACCGGAAGTCAAGAAAGAATCAATTATCGAGAGGTCTTATTTATTTCAGCTATTTAAGAAAGTACTGATTCCATAAGAAAAAACCATTTTGCGAAGAGCTATATTAACGATGATTTGCAAAAAAAAGTTTTATAAACTCTCGAAGTAAGTTTTTGCACTTTCACTTGATGCATTCAAATTCGGTTACAGTTTCCCAGAGAAAAATAAATCGAAAATACATAGAGTCTCGGCTGATTCTATATATTTTTGAATTAATTCTAAATATTTTAAAAATAGCATGCATATTCAAACCTTATAGTTTAGTTTTTTTTTGTATAAATAAGGGAATATATTCCGCGTTGTTTTTTCTGACCACAGCCCGTACGTGAGGTTATGCAATCAAAAGGCTACTCTCGTTGCTCTCAAATCCTTCTGATAAACAATATCAATTGTAATAATATTATCAAACCTCAGAGCGCGGTACCTCAAGCTAGTCCACTGCCCAACTACTGTCACAACATTTGAATAGAAGTTTCGGTTTGTCTGACCAACATACACGTGTAATGTATGACTAACCGCATTACGACATTTACGCGCATGTCATGTTAAGAGATAAGTTGAGCGTGGCATTTGACCTTGACTGCAAGTGGGAATCCCGCGAGTTCACCAACACCAGTTTGATAATGAATCAATACACATTTAGACAAGATGTTCTGTGGTATTTGCATTCTATCTACATTCACAACTTCTCTAGCGTAGATCTTGGTAAATAAATGAGGACAGCTTGTGTTTCATCGAGTGGAAAAATAGAGATGAAACGACGAGAAATGGGTAAATGGAGATGAAAATATTTTCTGGGCAATTTCTTATGAAGAAAGGACTTAATCTACTACACAAAAACCATTAATTTCTCTTCACGAGAGATGACGGGAATATTTGAGGAAAAACTATTCTTATGAATGGGACATTCCACTCAATTCTGTAGCAATTTCTTGTCAAAATTTTGATTTCTCCATATTCTACTCATTCTTTTCATTGGACAGCTGACAAAATTTTATGAAGAACATAAAAGATTTAAATTTCGAATTCTATAGCATCAATAGAATTCTTATTTTAATAGAAAAATTAAGGACTTGAATTGCTTTTCTCAGGTATTAGTGGACAGATAATTTTCATTCAACAATGACAGAATTGCCAAAAATCTGAGGCATAACATAATCAATGGCATGAATCGTAAAAATACGGAGATCAAAATTTCCATGCAAAAATTGCTGCAAGTAACTCCACTAGTTATTCATTCGGTTTCTGGGAGTTGAATGTACGTGGAGAACTCTCCAGGCTTCGCATATGAAATTTCGCGATTAGAATGCTCTATAGCTGACTGAAAGTCGACAGATGGATGGATAAATGGGGAGATCATAAAGGGTAACGTAATAAGACACTTGGCGTGAGTAAAACTCAGACAATGTGTTCCCGTCGTTGTTATATGTAAACACTTCATGTTCTTCAATGCATACTCGAGTTCACCGACATGACACAACATTGTATCCTTCGAGGCTTGAGAGCTGACAACTCAACTCTGATATCTTCCAACATATACTTTTTCTCAGACACTTTGAGGAAATGGGATAATAAAAATGTCGCAAGGTACTTGAAGGCGGTTTATCTCGAGTGATAATACCGGTAAGTTCTGCCAAGTTTGAGGAGGCTGTGCTGAGCAGCCAAATCTCTCATCCTCCAAATTTCATGATATCGTAAAAACAATATTTTCAAAAATGAGATGATACAGAGTACACGATCGCTCCACCATAAAACCTTTTATCCGTTTTCTCGCTTCGATAATTCCTGCAATACCAGATGGTATTTTCTGCACTTGAAAATGGTAATTTTCCTGTGAGCTTTGATCCTTGTAATTCAAGGATTTTAAATGCTGGGAAAAGCGAGGAGTGTGATGGAAGAGTTTATAAACCTGTTCTTCTTTCGTGTTATCCAGTGACTAGGGCAAAAACGTTCTATTGATTGATATTGTCGTGATGGGGGAGAAAGGATCACGCGAGACCGTCGAAGATACCCTAATGGAAATACATTTCAATTGATTCAACACTCGGTGCCATTTACTGTACGGATAACTTTGAAATCAGGTCGTACACTGTCTGATACCTTGATAATATCCTCAAATTTCGTGAGTGCACTTTGCTGGTGGATGGGGGCACATATATAACGAACTTCGTGTGGGTTCGACTATTGGAGAATACATGCGATTGATTGGGAAGACTTAGGGGGAATGATCGTCGATATCACTTCAATTAGTGATTGTCAGTCATTATTAATTGGTGATTCGGGAGCGGTGGGGTAATTGTTCGTGTTGCGGAGTCGAGGTTGGGGATCTTTACTATGCTAATGAGTTATGAGGATAATTTTGGCTTCAGTTATTTTTGATCCTGGAGGCAATGAATGTTGGAGTTGTTGCCAGATTCATCTGTGTCTAATAGAGGTTGCCGATTGGCTTTCAGTTTTCGTGGAGATCACAGAATGATTAGATTAGAGTGAATCTAGTAGTGAAAAGGAAATGGTTTTTATAATTCCAGTGAATTTTAAATTGAAAACTGGTCGAAAGCAATTGAAAACAGTTTCGAGTTGAGGGTATTTCTGAGAGAATTATGTATTTAGTGTTTTTCAAATTTACCCAGTGGTGTATTAAATAATATTATATCATTATTCCTCAGTAGTACTGTTGAAAAATTTCAGCGGAAATTTCAATTTGATAGAAAAGGGATCCTTAAATATTCTTCGTTGACAGATTATTTAATTTCTTGGATAATCTCACGGTTTTCAAGTTCCATTTCAAAGGTTATTGTTTAGAACTCTCAAAATACGGATAATCTTCGACATTACCGTTTAACAATAGAAAACACAGCGGTGCTCTCTAGTTTCAGTGACATTCCTGACGGTTGTTTAGTTCCTGAATGACTCAAGAACTCCTCAAATCTAGGGTTAAAGTTTTTGTGGCGATAAATGTCTTCGGCCGGATTTTTATTTTCGTACTCTGTCTTCATCGATGGGAAGCTCACTTTAATGATAGTACTGACGCTTTCCTAATGCTTTAATACAGTTTTCCCGCTCTCTGGAAAATGCAGAACCACTAGACATAATGTTGGCAGAAAACAAACGATTTTTCACTGGGATGCCATTTCTACATTAATATTTGAATTTTAAACAACCTTTCTTTTCGGAACTTTTTTTTATTTAAAAAATACACTTAAACTGCAAGATTTATTCGCCAGTTCATAGAGACGGAAGTAACTGTCAGTGGTGAAGTTGAATTTTGCGAAGAAATTCATCTGCATAAAACTACTTGAAAACTTCTCGCGAAAAGCAATTTAATTTTTGATGGGAATATGATAAAGAGTGGTTGAGGAGAAACAGTTCGTAATATTTTGGAGTGAGTATTTTTACAGGAGATTTAATGCCTCAGCCTAAAACATGATCGAAAATCCAACCTGGCACCTCTTGGATGCCGTTGATTGCTAGTCACGTACATTTTCAATAGCGTGCCAGAAAATTATCGAGCGAATGGGGGAAAAAAAACGAAATGAGTTCGTTAGCGTGACGAATTGCGGGTATGTGGTGCACCTCTGAAAATATATTCACCATTTCATCGTCTCTTAAATATCTACCTCTTATCGCGAAATTGTACCGAACAAAACTTTCTTGCTATGCGAATTTATTTGGAATATCTGTAGCACTGGATGGACATTCCAAGAGGAATTCTTCAATTTCTCGGCATTCGTAAAAGGCATTCTGAATGGATTTGGCATTTTGAATGGATATTTGCGCTTTTGCTACTTGAAATTCCACGTACCCACGAATTTTAATGAGCAAAGATTAGCCATCGTGAAACGCATGCGGCAGTAATTTCAATAATCATTGTACGTGACTATTGGTGATTTTGTAAATGCACAAGGTGAAGTGGCACCTAAGGAATTCACAATTGCAAATTTTCCGCTCAATGTTTATATTTCGAAGAACTGCGATCTTGACGACAATGAAAATTCAACAGGATACGAACAAACGAAATGGAAATTCGTAAAATTCTCGGTAGTTTATATGTTCTAGTTCGTTTGAAACTTTGTAGTACCGAGAGTAATAAAAAAACTTAGACGAAAGCATTCACTCCTCCTCTACTTTAAGTGTACCTCGTGTTTGCAAACTTGCAACGCTTGGGAGGAATGATTGTCATGTTTTTATCAGCAGATAAAGGACGAAATTTACTTTCTTCATGAGGGTCAGTCGCACTGTCCTATTCCCACAAAGATCGATAAGGAATAATCAACTCCTCTTCAGTTCTCTTTCGGAGGGTGTTTCCTTCTTTTTCGTCAGGGGATGAAATCTCAGGGATGATTTACACCGAGACAGTGTGGATCATTTATACATAAAGATAAAATATATTTTTCTACGGGTGATTCACCCCACCGCTAGAATATCCGGAACAGTAAAATACACAGGGTGAAAGTCGATTTATATTTATTAGTTGGGGAATCGATAAAAATTACACGTCAAATTTTTAGTTAAAAAAAACTTGGAATTTTTAACACAAAATGAAACTCCTGTAAAGGTAACGTAATGAGTTGTTGTAATGACTTGCTAATCAGAATAAAATAATGGCCCGGAGATTGATTTCGACCAGTCATCCGAAATTATAGCTGACCCGATACGTGAATATAGACCTCCGTCGTTGGATGTGGGGTCGTCAATGTGTATGAAGGGCCTAGGGGTTATTTCGATGATCAGATGATCTCCCTCACTCTCTCTTTCTCTCCCTTGGGTCGACCACCAATAGATAGATCTCGGATTACTCATGCTAAGGTCCGCATATATCACTCTCATGTCATCCAGCTCTAGCCCAATAATTTGCCAATGTCTGCATTGTCATGACGAGTTTGACAAAAAAAAATAATCAGAGTAATTAAACTGGTCTCATTTGCATTTCAACAGTTGATTCAGTGATCTCATGAATTCGAGTCTGTGGAATTATCAAAGAGGAGAATCCACAGGGGAGAATAGTAGATAGAAGAGTCGTTGTCCATGTCGATTTTTTCGTCGATTTATATTTGCCCTCGGTTTATACCCCATCGACAAGTTAAACGTGTTATTCATGATTTCGTTTAATCTATTCTGTTTTTCGTTTCGTCTCTCCAATATTTTTATTCTCAACACTCGACCCAGTTTTCTCAATCGTCGTAATTACCGTTGATGCCAGGTCTTGTATCACGGCCCTCTTCAGTGCAATTCCTTTTTGTATGTAACTATATTTCGGGGTAAATCTGTTGAACTCTCAGCGTTTTTGAATTTAATACTCGTGCTCAACCCCGAATTAGAATTACGCGGATGCATTACTGAACAGTTAACAGTGTGATGGTCTAAAAAAAATTGATCTTTGGGAATTCAGTTATAGAAAACTCTTGCATCAAATGTTTACCAATTCTGAGGATACATTTGCGCATAAATGATAAACACATCATGATCTTTATCTAAAAATTTTTATGAAAAAAAATTATATCGTTCTGATT